CTCTTGTAATTCTTTTCCCTCCTCTAGAAAAGCATTCTCATTTCTTGTCCTCATGAAAATGTGTCCACAAAGTTCCTGGCCCCGTACACAACTTTTTCTAGAATTCATCAGAAAAGTGTAAGTAGGTGAAGTGAGTGGGGAAATAACTGGAAGTGACTGTGAACTTTCCCAAGATGTCTCTGACACTTGCATGCTGGTTTGGAGGGGTGGTCTGCAGCGTGATTTTGTGTGTGAGCTAGGCAATGAAACAGGTCAGACCATAGAAACTGGGGAAACTTGATTATGGTTAAGTTTACCCCCCCCTAAATAGTCTCTAAACTTCTTATGCTGTTTTCTTGCAATTGATCTAATTCCTCCTCGCTTCAGGCCTATGACGGATCCCCCTGTAAAGGAATAAGATGTGTGAATTCATGTGTCAAAAACCAAGATAAAAATAAGAGTTTCCGGGCTCTGAGCTCTTCATCTCTGAGTCAAATCTATCCCTGGTTTATAGTGGCTCTTTGCTCCCATGGAATGAAGTTGATATTTGCCGTATGAATTTCTGTTTGTGGGGCTGGGAATTGAATGTTGCATAAACTCATCTTGACCTGGTGGGAATTCAAAGACCAGAAAGGCCCAGCTTGCATTTAAAAAAAAAATAAACCCACACAAAACAAACAAACAAAAACCCAAACAAACAAAAAACCCAAACACACACACAAAAAAACCCCCCACAAAACAAAACATTGCATGAACTTCTCCCTTATTTAAAAGCAGCCCTGCTCGTTTTGCTGAATAATCTTCTTTATTATTGCTCCCCCATCCACCTGGGGGTGCCACACGTACAGCTTCTCACTGAACAGTGATACAGAAAGGCTGACTCTGACCTGAAATTCCATTCCTTTGCTGAAAAGAAGTGCGTAACTTGGCTTTGCTGGAATATAGTTTGTGCTTTTGCTGAACACTACGTGCAAATGATCGGAGAAGCTAGGGAGTGTGTAGCCTGCAGGTACAGCTGCCCCAAAGGGAGTCCCCTGAAGGCTGCTGGAGAGGTTTTAGTGCACTTCTCTCGTGATTTACTGAGTAAATGGCTGTGATAAACCCAGCTGAAAGTGCTGAACAGCCGGGGTCCCGGCTAACAAAGCTCAGAAGTGATACAAACCGAGGTGCCGTGACATCAAGGCAATTCCACACCCCTGCAGCTGTTTTCAGAGGAAGCGGGGCTCTGCTGAGAGACAGAGCTTGGCAGCCAGGCAGCTCTGGAGACAGAGGTGAATCTCTTCTCAGAGCTTTGTGCTGCCTGAGAGTCCCCAGCTGCCTTTTTGTGGGCTAAACGTGTGCTAAATGGTATCGAGGTTCGAAGCACCGCAAAATGGAAGTGCAGGGGTGAGTGTTTAGTCTGCTGTCGGGTGGGTGTGACGGGTTACAGCTGCGCTGCGGGTCTCTCTGCTGGGAAGCAGCTGAAGCAATACCTGTTAACATGGAGATGAGTTTAAAGCCGGTGTGGACTAAGCTCCAGTTGGCCTTTTTTACCTGCTGCCCCTTGTGCTGAGCACTCGTGCTTGGCCTTGGCTGTTTACATCCCCCTCCTGAAAATCTGGGGCTGTGTCAGACCTCAGTGAGGCTTTTTGTTCCTGCTTGAACCACCTTCGCAGGCTGCTTTTTTTTTCCTTAACTAGGGAGCAAATTGCCACAGATTGGTTGGCTCTGTAAAATGCCACTCGTGTTACCGCTGTGTTTTTCACGTTACCAATACGTCAGTAAATGTACTTAATGGCTGTTGTAACGACTAAACTCTTAGCTCATGCTCTTAAATCTTCTAATTCCTGTTTAAATTCCTAAATTTTCTTTTTTAAGTGGAGGTTGAGTACTGATCCTGCACCCTGTTAAAATCAGCTGTGATTTGAGCTGTCGGAGCTTTTCGGGAGAGCAGTTTGGTCTGCCCCTTGCTTGGGCAGGAGAACTTAGGACTGAAGTGTGGCGTATCACGTCCCCCCAAGCCCTGGCTGATGCAGGTGCGGCAGTAGAACGCCCTACAGTGTGCCCCTCAACATCTGGGAATGTCTGGGAACAGCTGGAGATCGATGCAGGTCTCTTGTGTAGTACTTGGTCAGGCCTCTAGCTGTCATCTTCTTGGCAGAGCCTCTCAGTGTACTCGTCTCTCTGTGTTTCCCCGTGAACGTAGTGTTAAACCTGACTGTCTCCAGGCTGGCTGCTCGCTGAGGCTGAGCAAGAGGACAGAGACAAAGCCTGGTCTTGTTGGAGGCCAGTTACTTGCTCAGAAAAGCAATCTGAAGCCTGGCATGAAGATGAGCAGCCTCTTCATCCCTTACATACCTCACCAGGTGCTTGGCACCTGCAAGTGCACGGACGGCCTGTGCAAGTTGGGACCAGAAATGTGTGCTTTGGCCTGGTGGTGAGGGGTTGGGATGGCCACAGGACTGTGGTCTGTGTTTCTCCTGGTGGATCTGCCTTTCTCTCCGTGGATTTTACCACTGTGGTGTTTTCTTGTAATATTTTCTTGTAACCCACAGGGTGCAAATGCCATTATTAGGAAGCTTGTGGAGAGCAGCGTGACTCCAGTATCCAAATCTTGCAAGACAAGGCAGCTATTCCTTGGTTTTATTGGGATTTTTTGCAGGATGCAACACTAGTGTCAGCCTTGGTTCTCGTAAAATCTACGTAGTTGTGTTTTCAGCCTGTTCAGTGTTGCTGCCATCTGTATTGGAAATACTTCTGTCCCTTAGCAGGTGTAATTGTTTCACTCAAAGCTAGAATACCCATTATCTTAGATTATTATAGAGTATTTTGGGGACCTACAACGATCCTGTAACCCAACTGCATTTATCCACAACTGAAATGCATCTGCCTTTCCCAAAAGGCAGCGGTAATGTCTGGCATGATGGGAAAAGCTGCCCTTTTCCAAGAATATAAGCTTAACATCGGCTCTCTTCCGAAGTATTTGTCTCTCCCAGTGTTTATGCAAAGCAGGCAGCTGTTAATACTTTGGGGGGGTGGTGGTGGGGGTTAGCCTGCCTGCATCAGGAGCTAGTTTTGAGTCAGTGTTTCAGAAAATTGAGGTGGTGCTGTTGGCTTCGTAAATACCTCAGACAGTGTCTCGTGGGCTTGTGAGTCAGGGGGTTCTCAAGCTGGCCGGTTATCTCGAGGTAGCGTGGAACAGCTTGGCTCAATTTCTTACCTGTGTATAGGAGTTGCTGGAAAAATCCAGGTTTCTGCTTCACCTCGGGTAAACCCGAAATAAGATTGTTGTCTGTGCAGGCTTCTGACTCAGCATTTCTTTTCCACCCTGCTTTGCAGCTCTCTGCAGAGTCACAGGCAGAGAATAACCACTTCTCTCTCAGATTTGGTGGCAATTACAAGAAATCCGAGGTCCTTTGTGCCCAGTTCCAGTCACCCAACTTATCTAAGTCCCGGCTCTGGGTCAGCCCAGATCAGCAGCTCGCTCTTGAAAGAGGAACACAGCAATCTGTGTGAACTGATAAACGGAGGAGAATTTCTTTTTATGCTGCCTTTGTCCTCTAGAAAAAGCCTGCTTTTCAAGATCCACTTGTTTTTTGATTTCTTAAGGGGTTAATTAATATCTCATATTGAGAGGGTGAGGTGAGAAAGTCCTGTGAAGTCCTTGCTCAAATGTTAGGATATTAGCAGGCTAAAACTGTTTAGCTAGGAGTGTGGAAGCTCTTTTGGGTGTTTTAAATGAGTCCAGCAGCATGTCTTGGGGAGATAATAGCACAGAGTGATGCGCTGAGCAGGTCTTCCCCAGCCCAGAGTTAGGCTCTTGAGCAGAAATACTTACTTCCAGGGTCTCATAAAGCTAATGCTCGGTGGTTTTACCCTCCTGCAGGTTACCTGTCTTGATATTTCCAGTGGTGGAGGGCTTGGCGTGTCTACCAGCACGGACGGGACCATGAAAATCTGGCAGGCTGCAAATGGAGAAATACGAGTAAGAGCCTCCTGGCTTTGGTGTTGTGTGCTGCTCGTGGCGTTACTGAGGTGATTCGACCGTGACTTGGGTCAGGCTGGCCACACGCTGTGGGCTAGAGAATCTGGCTTTTGATTGAAAAGCTAATTGAAATTTGACATCTCGGGAGATTTTCAGTTGGAAAGCCTGAGTTCTGCCGAGGGGAATGACGCTCAGCAATCCGGAGAGGCGTCCCGGGGTGAAAGCGGGAAGGGGTAATGAGGAGTGACAGCTTAGAGTGCAGGAGGTGACTGATGCCTCCTAACCTGCGTGCCACAAGCACCGAGTTTCTTCTGCAGTAGAGAGGAGGTGAGGAAGAAAGACTCCTGCTCGTGACGGGTTAACCACATCCTCACTAGCTGCCTCCCCAGTGAAGGGGTTTCTTGGGGAGCCTGACCTGTCAGCTGCTTGTTTGGCAGAGGATAAAGACATTTAACCTGCTGTTAGAAGGAAATGTGGTATCCTTTGCTGTGTGAGTAGCTACTCAAATGGTAGAGGGAGGCCCAAAGTGTACCTGCTGCCTTGAATTGAGGTGAGTCCCTTCCAGAAACACAAACCTAGAGCTTAATCCTCTGCCCACGTGGGAATGCCAGGTTTTCCAGTGTCATAGCTCAAAAATCGCTCGGCGTGAGGTTGATAACAATGGAACTAGCACGGAGCTCTTTGTTTTTCCAGAGGCTGTTGGAAGGCCATGTGTATGATGTGAATTGTTGCAGGTTTTTCCCATCAGGCCTTGTGGTTCTGAGTGGGGGAATGGATGCCCAGCTAAAGATCTGGTCAGCAGAAGATGCCAGCTGCGTAGTAACGTTTAAAGGTCACAAAGGAGGTACAGAGTACTCAGCCTTTCAAAATGCTCCATCTGCTGTGTGTAAAAAAAAAAAATTGCCTTGGGCCCCAGGGCTCGTGTCCAGTCGCCAGCCTGCTGCGCTTTGTGCTGTGCATTTGGGTTCGATGTCCGGAGGTTTTTGTGATGTCCAGAGGTTTTTGGGCTCCCAGAACTTAAAGAAAAAGATCAGTAGTTGCTGGATTAGGCAGGTGAAACTGTTATCTTTCACCAACCTGCATTTTCTTCATTGATTAAGATAAAAAGGGAGAGGGTGCAGTCCATGAGCCTGTTGCCAGTGCCAGAGTTGGAGGCAGAGGGCCTTCTGCTCCTCCAGGGCAGTCTCAGCTCTCCAGAGCTCCCACCTGCGTTCGGTAGCCTTGCTGCCTTCACTGCAAGTGCACCCAGATCATCCTGCTCACCTTCAGCTGCCACAGAGCCTCTTCCTTCTTTATTTTCCCCCCTCTCCTGCCCCAAAAAGCATACAGCAGTTTGTTGTGGACTTGCAGAACTCCAGCAGGCCGTTACCTGCCTTGAGGAGGCGTGCTGTTGGGAGTGAAGCAGAAGAAGAGCAGCTGCAAGGATACTTAAGTGATTATTTCTTAAGAAGGGCTGGAATAAGCTTGTTCACCCTTCTCCTGAGGGCAGATATTCCGCTCTGCCCCTGCTGATGGCCTTGCTGCTGAAAATGAGAGTAAATTCTTCCCCCTCCTTGTGTCCTCACATAGAGGATGCGCTGGCCGCCTTACGTGGTGAGTTCAGTGCCGCTCCTTGTGTTCAGGGTCTAGGCTACAAACTCCTCCAATTCATTCTCAGTCTCCTAGAAGGAGAACTGCAAGGGGTGGAAAATGAGCTTCCCAGAGAGCAGCTCCTGAGAGCTGCAGTCAAAGCCATTTCTGGACAGAGCCTTTGTTAATCTCTGGAAAGAAGATTTGGTTTCCAGGACCCCTTTGCCCAGCAGCAGTGTGGGTTTATCCGTAAGCAGGCTCCTTTTTTTACTCCCAGAGCACCGTGGCGGGTGGTGCTGCCTTGTCATGGCAGGTGGCTGCTTCCTAAGGGATGCCAGCCTGAACGCTTGGGGGATCGTGAGCAAGTCCAAGCTGTAGATGTGGCATCAGATGCCCAAAACCCTGCCCCAAATTATCTGCTCCCTGAGCACCTCGCTGCTCCGTGCAGGCTCTCGGTTCTCCCGGTCTCACCAAGTGCAAGGCTTTAAGGGAAGGGTTGTTAAACCGTGTGGCTGGCTGCCCAAAACTTGACTCGAAAGCTTGTCTCGCGTTGAAACCGGTATCGTTCTCGTGTGATCTGTTTGTGTGGATCCAAAATACTTTGCTGCAAATGGCCTGTAAACAAAAGGTGGCGGGTGGGGTGACAGGGCTTTGGCCAGAACAGCGCTGGCTGTCTCCTGGTGCCTCTGAGGTTGACTTTATTCACTGCTCGTAACTCCAGCCCACACTGCCACAGCCTG